GAATTTATTTTAAAATCTGGGCATATTCACTGCTCACGGGCTTGCTGAAGTCAGTGAGCCCTGAGCTCTTCGACGCGAAGCCCGTGTCGTTAGAGCGTCGACCAGCACATACACTCACGTCATATTAGTCGATAATATTACTTATTAGGTTATTTATAGGTAGTATTATTTGTTTGTTTTGGGTATAATTTTTCGTATTAGTTATACATATATTTGTTGTGTTTTTTACTGCGCGATGAAGCTTTTTGCGTGTATTTTCTTTGAAGTAAATGCAAATAAAAAAATGAAGCACCATTAGCATGTAAGGTTCGAATCCATAATTAAAATTTCGACAAATATTATAATTTACACTATAAAAGGCTAATTCAATATTATCACCCAACCACAATATCTTATTAGGTATAGTACCGCCTCGTTGGTCTAGTGGTTGTAGTAGTGCGAGTGCTGATCATGAGGTCTCGGTTTCGAATCCCGGGTCTTGTCAAAAAGTCAGTTATGAGTTTTTGGCCCGTTTTTGTTTTTATTTATTGCTTGTTTTTTCTTCTTTTTCAAAAAAAAAATAATTGAGTACATAAGATGTTCTATACGCCGAATGTCAGAGAGAAAAGCTAGTACATCTTTTGCTAAACTTTAAAATCTAAAACCAATTTTAAAACAGACGAATTGATCATAACTCCCTTAGCTATAAAATAAGTTATGATCTAATTAATGGTATTTATTCCAGTTTATGGCAGCTCTGATTTATATTACGTGGCTGAAATTAGGTACATCTTATTAGGTACGTCAAACCAAATAACAGCCGGGCGGCTGACATTATGCACTCCATACATTTCTTATATTATCTAATTACAGTCCCATTAATTTCCACTAAAAGAAAATAAATAAGTTGTAAATTCAAACAAAAATAACTGCATTACTATGTCTATAGTCATATTCATACAAATCAAAAAGCCTATATATGAGATAATCATAGAATATTCTATGGAGATAATGTAAAGTAAGCATAATTTTACCGGGATCATAACTTGTCAAATAATTAGGAAAATGATCGTTTTTCGTTGCGTAGGTACCTGTTTTGATTTTAACACTGTTAGGTTTAAAACTGCGAGGTAATATTTGAATAAATATAGTTTCCTCTAGGTACAAAGAATTTTTTAGATGAAAATATTTGTAGTTAAGACTACTAGAAATCTTATTTATGGAGTAAAAAGGCGAAAAGACGGCAATTAGGGGCATGACTGGTATTAGGGGCTTCTACCCTAATTCGGTAAAAAGTATCTAAGTAGGTATTAATATACCTACTTTTTACTATAAACTAAAATTTTTTTAAACTAAATTTAACTAAAAAAAACTAAAGTGACCATTTATTTTTTAACTCAAAACAGGACATGGATTTATTTACACTCTAAAAACTATAACTTTACACAATTAGTGTTCAATATAAAATTATATTCGGTATAGACGATAATTATTAAATGCAACATATTTTTTTTAATTATTAATTACATTTGTCAGTGGATTAAATTTGCTTTAATAAAGTTGGTGATAATTTTAAATAAGAATAAAATTCTGCTTAAGTTTTTTTATTGTTACCTTTGTTATCAACATCGCCTTTAGAACTGGAACCGTAAGTGTTTCTTTCAGACGTCCACAATTTGTTCAAAATAAAAAAAATATTCTTTCTACTGGAGCATTTGTACCAGGGAGACATAAAATATATTCGATTAAAAAAAATTATGTTGAAGATTGTTGACTTTGAATACTTCCATCCAACGAGTTACGGGACAATTTTGTGTCCCGGAGCTTTGTTTGGGCACAATGGGACAGGTGACTGAGAAAAGGGACAGTCCCGTTCAAAACGGGACGTATGGTCACTTTAGCTATAAACCGGCGACGGCTCCGTGGCGCACTGGCTTAGCAATCAGTTGCTGCACTGGGGGCCGCGGGTTCGAATCCCGCACGGAACAAGTATTTGTATGGCCTACAAATAATTGTTCCGGGTCTGGATGTTTGTCCTTGTGCAATTTATGTTTGTAAACTGCCTCCACGACTCTCATTCTATATTACTCTCACTCTGCGAAACATCCTATTTATTTATTTATTCTTTATTGCACCAAATATTTGTACAAAAGGCGAGCTATCTATCTATTTATCTATAGTGAGTAGGTATCTTTTAAACTCACAATTTTCAATGCTTCATTTTTAATATATAATTAATTATAAAATTTCATAATTAGATAATATTATACATAATAGAGAATACATAACTCTAATATAATGCAACTAATATACCGAATAAAAAATTTGAGATACATTTATCGTTGTACGCTGTGTGTATTTCCATAAAATAGTTTATTGATGTTGAAAAAATACTACGTTCTTACAGTAGGTGGCGCCTTACATATTTCTTACGTGATATTATATTGTAGCGAGTCGGCGCGGCACACCAAATGCTCAAGGTCGTTCGCATGGAGTAGCCCCTTAATATAGCAATATCTTTTGGCAATACAAAAACTTTATGGAAAACTAGCTGGTCCCTGGTATATAGTGTATTATCTATGCTAGCTGGTACCCGGCGCGCTGCAGCCGCAGAAGAAATAATTGTGATAATATCGTTCTAAATTTGGAAGATTTATATTATTAGGAATGACAATGCATTCATTGAAGTTGAATGATATATAACTTACAAATGTGTCGGTACTATACGCGCGCCACCTACTGTAAGTTAATTGTACTATGCCCATAACTACCCATACGTACTCCAACCAAAATATAGCTGGCTTGGCTCTATCAAGTATAAAATTGTCAAAAATAGACACGTGTTGTCAGAAATTTGGGGATCTAGGAAAACCTTAGTTATGGTATGGTATTAAAGTTCAAATTGACTTTTAAGTATTATTACGAATCTTTTGTATGGGAATATAGAAAATTGTTGTTTTTAGACTTTTTCAGGCAATTTTTTAAATTCTTCTCTGCGTAAGAACCATCTTCGTACTTCAAGGAATAATATAAAAAAGAATTAGCGAAATCGGTTCAGCTGCTCTCGAGATTTGCGCTTAGCAACACATTCAGCGATTCATTTTTATATTATAGATACAAGTTTTGGAACAAGCCTTTGCATTTTGTATATCTAATGTTTCGTCAAAAGTAGCAGAAGAATTTCAAGGCTTGGTTATTAAAAAAGGAATATCAGTGAAATGTTTCTCAAAAGCCGCATCAACTTTCTGATCAAATTTCGCCAAATTTTTGTTAAGATTTAATTGAAAATCCAAGTTGCGTAATATAACCTTGCTCTTTTCACTATTAATAATTATAGATACACCACGTTTAATAGAGGCAGTTTTAATTTTATTGCTTTTAAATATAGCCGTAGCTGTAGACTGTAGAACATATTTTTTAAATATTATGTACTTTAGAATAATTTTACATATTCCCTAAATGTATCACTATGGTTAGGTAGGTATATGACCTTTCATTATAAAGCTCATCTCTTTCACTGTCGCATAACTATTCCATTGAATGCCCAACTTTTTTTTTAATACTAGTAATGCAATTAAACATTACTACGAGTAATATTCCCTTTAACCACTTGTGGTAAGCTTAAAATGCTTGTGTTAGAAGTGGTTCACGAGAGTAGTCGAATGGCGGATTCGAACCCACGACCTTTCGAGTTCGCGATCCGCGCCCTGCAATTAGGCTACAGACGCTTCCAAAAAAAACTTACAGTTTTAAATAGTTCTATTCTTACAAATAATCAGTATCATTTAGAAATGAAACAGGATACGGGCAGCAACATCTTACTTATATATACTCAAAATAATTAAAAAAAAAACTGGATGTACTATGTTTGCAGGGGATTTTTAATAGGGTAGAAATAAATGAATAACGAGAATGTTTTATATTGAAATATAATGGTACTGGTGTTACCAATAGGAAATCAATAAAAAATAATGATAGGTGAGCATAGGTGAAGACAGTGAAAAGTAGAATTTATAATACATTCTTACTTCATCTACTCCACCAGTTAACTAGTTTTGTTGCTTTTATAGTATAACAAAAGGTATTACAATAAATAATTTTGTTAAAATAAAAAATAAATTTTAATATAATGATTATAAATATATATTACACTAGCTGACCAGGCAGACGTTGTTCTGCCCTTTCCGACGACCATTTGCTTTCCTAAAAAAAACTTCTGAAATTAGCAATAAAAAAAACTTCTTATCGGGATAAAAACTATCCTATCTCTCAAGTTGCACCAAACCGCACACAGTATGCAAAATTTTATTGAAATCAGTTTAGCTTTAGTAGTTTAGCAGTTCATTGCGGACAAACAATGTGACACGTAATTTTTATATGTAAAGATGATTATGTATATATAAATATATTTTATTTCAATTCTTTATAACAATCCTCGGTAGTATAGTGGTAAGTATCCCCGCCTGTCACGCGGGAGACCGGGGTTCGATTCCCCGCCGGGGAGAACTTTAACATTTTTGGTTTTAATGTATTTTTAATATTTATTATAGAAAAATATGTACAGTTTACTTGTGGTAAATCAATATCTACTAAATTGTAGAAATGCAGTCGAAAAATTTGTTGCTCAAAAGGCTAAGTAGGTATAGCCATTGAGAGGCGAAACGCAGCCGGCGTTCTTGGCCCGATAGTGCGGGGTGTAATGCTGTATAATTTAGTTTTCTTTATCGGAAAATGTGACACATGGGGATAGGTAACAATTAAATCATCTACAAAACAAATTTTGTAAACATTTGATTCTTATTCACTAATCATAAAAAACATAAAATGAGATAACATCAGTCCGACTTCTAGTCGAAAAGGAATATTAGCTTCATTTGCTTACATATTAAAGGTTGGATAATAATTTTGGTTGTAGGTTCCATATTAGGTAACAAAATAACATATTTTTTTCATGACAGCATAGTGATATCCATTCTTTGGTCTTTAATTCCTCTACGCCAATCTTCAAATATATTACAATATTAGGGCATAGAATTGTTCTTGTAACCTCCTACTTTAAGTTCATTCTTAATCTGTAACAAATTAAGAAAATTGTTACATAAAAAATAACATCACATGCTCTTTTATGAATAGAGTATGAAGAGTAAAATGCTCACTCTATATATTTATTTTATTTAGAATTTAGAATAGAGGCCATTTAAAATTTGTCGATATAATATTAAATAGGTAGTATATTAGAGAAGAAATATTGATACATGCTGAAATTAAAAACAATACAAAAAAGTTGAAATTAATAAATGAAAAAAGTTTAAAATATTGTATAAATATTTGAAGTAATCAACTTGATAACATTATAATAAAACAACCTATTATTTACCATATTACCAGTAAATAATAAAATATTGAATACACCGCCATCTATTGAAACTAACTAGAAACTATCGTAAAAGTTCCAATAGAGCAATGATACAAAACAAGGAACCAGTCTCTAGTATATATACAGTAATCTATGCAAGGAACCCTAGATTATTAATTATATATATTAAAGATAAGGAACTTTTACAAGTTAAGTTACAAAATTTCATACAACACCTTCTTCCTTTTACGAGGTTTGGTTTTCTTGCCCTTACGTTTTCTTTTTTTGTTTTTATTAATATGAGGTGAAAACTTGATGTCAGGTCGCAGTGGTCCAACTCGAACATTTGGTCGAGGGCTTACTGTTCTTAAGAGATGTAGGAGAGCTGTAAATTAAATAGCATGATGTAATATGATTTAAGAAATATTGTTAGTTAATTGAATTAAAGATAACTATTATTGGAAGAGCGTGGAGTATTTTATAGTGCAGCGATCTAAGTTTGGATCTTGCTAACACCACTGAATTTGTTGATATTTTTTTTTAGATATTGTTCATCTTGAGTACAGTTTTACGACGTGCTTGGAGGTAAAGGAAAACATCGGGAGAATACCAGCATGATTTTTTTATAGTATTCATAAATGCGGTTTGCCGTGGTAGTGTTTTGGGCCTACTGGCTATTTTCATGTACTTATACGAACTTCTTAATGCCACAAATGACCAATTTATTTACAATGTAGCAATAATTATTAAAAATGAGTAAAAAGTTATCAAAAAGACATTTAATATGAAAATGATAAAGTTGAGCACATAAATTAACGCGCTGAGAGCATTGAAGTAATATGTACTTAGTACCATAGCTCAATGGCTGAGAGCCGCGTGATCAAATCAGACACGGAACAAGTATTTGTACGGCCTACGAAATTGTTTCGGGTCGGAATGTTTGTCCTTGTGCAACTTATGTGTGTATACTGCTTCTACGATACAGTGGAAAATCCTACTGTACGTTTATTTTCTAAAGATTAAGGAAGAATATAAAGATAAGATAAGTAATCGTCACAATGAATCAATAAACAGCTTTGTGGGGAACTTTGTACCTATTAGTATGTAGTATATATATTTGTCATCGACGAACTTTTATATGAATAACTAGTGATCTGCCCCGGCTTCGCATGTGTGATTACTGGATCTCGACAGCAGCACTACTTACTGGGTCCAATTGTGAATCTAAGCCATCCAGGGACCCACTCAAACACAAAGAAAACAAATCATCAAAATCAGTCCAGCCGTTCTCAAGTGATGATCAGCTGGTGATGGTGAATCAGCTGGTGATCCTCAAGGTACTTCATGAGCTGGCAGTTTATAACGGATTCCATTATTTTGGAGAACAAGGAGGTGATGGCAATAGGCCTGTAGTTGGACGGGTCTGAGCGGTCGCCTTTTTTAGGGATCGGGTGGATCAAAGCTGTCTTCCATGAATTCGGGACTACGCCTTGGGAGTAGGAGTACCGGAAAAGACGCGTTAAAACCGGTGCCAACTCCGGAGCACACGCCTTCAGCACAATGGGAGGGACTCCATCGGGCCCACTCGACTTGCTGACGTCCAGGGAGAAGAGTGCTTTGCGAACCGAGCGCTGTGTAAACCGCACATCCGGCATGGAGCACTCACATCGCGGGATGGTCGGCGGTGTGTTCACCCCGTCATCTAGAGTCGAGTTAGACGCAAAAAGAGAGCTCAACAGATCGGCTTTCTCCTTTGCCGCATGGGCCAGTGAGTCGTCCTCTCTATGCAGAGATGGAAGAGATGGCTGACAGAAGTTCCCTTGGACAGCCTTGGCGAGAGACCAGAATGCACGGGTTCCCGAATGAAGGCGAACTAGCTTCTCGCCAATTCTGCCGATGTGCTCAGACATTGCCTTGGCAATGACGCTTTTGAAGGACCTGGAGGCGGAGTGATACTTCTTTTTAAGTGCGCTGGTGTTTACATACCGAGACGTTGATGCGTCAGCCCAGGCCCTGTAGCACTCCTGCTTATAGCGTGATGCTATTTTACAGGAGCGACCAAACCATGGCTGGGATCTGCCACCGATGGGCTCCACAGAGGTTGGAATAAAAAGTTCCATACCCTGAAGTACCACATCAGCAACAGAATCGGCAACAACGCTGGGATCTTCCGGCGAGAAGCAAACCCGCACCCAAGGTTAGGATGCAAAAAAAGGACCGCATCCCGTCCCAATCATCTGACCTATAGTGCCAAACACGGCGGCAAGCTGCAGATCGCAAATGTGATTGGAGCATGAGTGGCACTGTACTCCGGATCAGACAATGGTCCGAAGAGCCCAGAGGGGCATCGACGGAGACCTGATATCCGTCCGGATGAGAGGTCAGCATAAGGTCCAACAGGGAAGGTACATGGTCTTCCACATCTGGGATCCGCGTAGGCAAAGTAACCAGTTGTGTTAGACCATATGCCAAAGCAAAGTCATAGACAGATCTACCCGCATGATCGGTTAAACGAGAACCAAGCCATTCAGCGTGGTTGGCGTTAAAATCACCGAGTATCACGATCTCTGTGGATGGGACCTGTTGTAGCACGGAGTCTGCAGCCATTCGGACGTGGTCGATGAGTCGGTCTGTGTCGGCATTACCGCTATGGGACCTATAGAGGCACCCGTAGACGCGGGGATGGTCGTCGCTGTCTACGCGCAGCCATAGGATGGACAGGTCCGTACCCTCAAGACTGCCGAGGCGTCGAAAACAGATGTCCTTTCTGACGTATACGCAAACTCCAGCCCGGGGCACAAAGGAGTGTTCCAATTTGTACCCCTGGTAGGAGAGATATGAAGTATCAGCCGGAGAGGATACCTGAGTCTCGGTTAAAAAGAGCAAGACCAGCTTTGCCGTCTCTAGATGGTAATGGACAGCGTTAAGGTTGGAATGAAGTCCCCTGATGTTGCAAAAATACATTAGCTGAGCAGCATTAGTCGCGAGCGGAATATTGCCCCCCCCCCCAATATACGCGCGAATACGCGGGGCAGCCTGAGTAACCACGTTCAGGAGTGAAGTAGTTCGGTCGTGGATGCTCAGCGAGGGATTCTCCAGGGGTGCTGGTACCCTCCTGCTAATCCCACTACCATGTTTCCACCTGCACTCACCAAGCGCAACGTAGAGGTAAACCTACGTACCTTACCTATATATATATATACCAATGTTAAATATATATATATATATATATTTAGATATAGTATTTCTGTGCCCTTTTTGGGCGGAGACAGAAATGAAATTAATAATTACAGACTAATTTCCGTTCTACCAGCAATATCTAAAATTCTAGAAAATTACTTAATATTACTCAACTACTTAAATAAATTTGATATATTGGCACCCACACAGTTTGGCTTCAGACAAGGAAGATCGACAGAAGATGCAATTCTTGAATTAAGCACATTTGTAACAGAACAACTCGACCACAGTAAAAAATATTTGTCAGTTTTCCTTGATCTGAAGAAAGCATTCGATACCATCTCTGTCCCTATGCTTGTGCACAAGCTTAAAAAAGTTGGAATAAGAGGAACCCCGCTTGCTCTTTTCGAAAGCTACCTGTTAGAGAGAAAACAAAAGGTAAAGCTTCCTGGGTTCACTAGTGGGGATGCGGGAGTATCATCATATGCCGTACCACAGGGTAGCGTTCTGGGGCCAACCTTATTTTTAATTTATATCAACGACCTATGCAGTATGACCACACCAAATGCTAAAATCCTGTCGTACGCCGATGACACGGCTGTAGTTTTTGCTGGTGAATCTTGGGAGGTTGTCAAGACTAGTGATGAAAGTGATCTAGCTAGAGCTAAGACAAATTTTATTTGCTTTAGCATTACTAACAACTCGCAACCACAGCCTTAAAATTCATGCATGTAATGAGGATGCTAAAAACAAAGCTTGCCCATCAATTGAAAAATCTTTCACACTAAATATCTCGGCGTCATTGTAGATCAGAGGCTATCGTGGTACCCATACCTGGAGCATGTCTAGGACTCGAAAATTGATTTGGATATTCAAAACCCTAAGACACGTAATACCAGATAATACTTAACAGTCGGACTCTCCCAGATATCTTCTAAACCAAATATACATATCCCTTGCACAATCTATCATAATTTATTGCATTCCGGTGTGGGGTGGAGCTACAAAGACCCAATTTCTTAACTTGGAAATAGCTCAGCAAATCCTTCTTAAGGTCATGTATTTTAACAAAAGACGTTTTTCCACTAAAAAACTGTATCAAATAAGTGGTCTACTCTCAGTTAGACAATTATACGTTACTATGACAACGCTCAAAGCACACAAATCCGTGCCCTTTGACCCATGCATCTTGGAAAAGCGGCGAAAAGATGTTGTGGCTGTGTCTTCTGGTTCCAAAACAGTGTTTGCTAGTAGGCAATTTAGCTCCCATTCTACATTCCTATATAATTTAATAAATAGAGAATTAAACATATACGACAAAACGTACAAGGAGTGTAAAAACCTTATACTAAAATGGATGCAGTCGAAAACATATGACGAAACTGAATTTCTAATGGAAAGCATTTCATAATTCACTGTTCTTTACGATATATAACATAATAATACTTTCTCTACACACACACACACACACACATTCACACGCACGTGCACACACGTACATACACACGCACTAACACACACACACACACACACACACACACACACACACACACACGCACGCACGCACGCACGCACGCACACACACACACACACACACACACACACACACACACACACACACACTCACGCACATATACACACACACCCACGCGCGCGCGCGCACTTGCATACATGCACACATATACTTTTGTACTTTTTTAATTTTTGGTTATAAAAATAGAATAAATTAGTTTTTATTAGTTTTGGTTTGTTAAAATAGAGTAATTGGTTTGTCATTTTTGGTTTTTAGAATTAAAATGTATGTTTAGATAAGGAAGAGCGGGGTTTCCAAACACAAGCATTACTTGCTTAAATGGAGACCCCAATCAACTATCTAAGTTTAGTGAAGAAAAATAAATTATTTTTTATTTATTTTTTATAGAGTATGCAAAATTGAAATTCCATATTTCTTGTATTTTTTTTAATAATATAGGGTGACAAGCGTGCACACAGTCCACCATCAGGTTTCTTTTCTGTTGACAACAGTAGATGTATAGAGTATGCAAAATTGAAGTTCCATATTTCTTGTATTTTTTTTAATAAAATAGGGTGACAAGCGAGCCCACAGTCCACCTGATGGTGGACTGTGTGCTCGCTTGTCAGCCTATCTGGTGATGTAATTCTCAAGATAAGGTGTCTGTATGCATAGGCGCCTTGAGATACCATCGCCAACTGTCAGCTGTCTGCTGGCTCAAGTTGCCGTCAAAGTCTCTCAAGGGCTGCACAATGTGACGTATCAACATATTGTGAAGCAGTGTACTATGAAGGATAATTATATATTGTAACTACAGGCTCAGAAGGGCAAGAACCCAGAGCCGTAAAGCCAGTTATTAAGAAGAAGAAGCAGTCGACATAAATACATATGCATAGTGTCACGCCTGTAATTCCCCGCCCGAGAGGATAGGCAGAGTAAAGAGCAGCTAACTACTCGGACGATGTTTAGCCAAAAAAGGGAAAACGTTGAAGGAAGTGAGGGATGGCTAACCTATTACAATCACATACTCAATATCCCATTAGTCGCCTAGCCTAAAAACCCAATAGGTGTCAAACAAAATCAATACACAAACTACAATGCCATTATTCTTTTACTCCATGCTAGGCAGGTAACACAGTTGGTTCTTTTTTGCGATAAGTCACACTAAGTCCCAAATCAAATAAGATCGCCACCCTGTTTTGTTTACAACAGTGGACTTGTCTTTAAAGCTGATTCGCAAAAAATAGAGACTGAGCTTCTCTTGTATATTCTTATATTATTATATATTTAAAAAGTGTTTGCAACCTATAGTGTCTTTTCTTCGATAACGGCATTCGAAGGAATTTATGTATTTCACTTAAATTCATACCAAAGCTAAAGCATCCTCAAGATACTCAAAACTACTATCCTGTGCATGTAATAATATAAATATAAACATAATTTTACTTTAAAAAAAAAAAGGCTCACTGAGTTGCTTGCTGGTTCTTTCCAGGAAGGAGTTTCTATCCGAATCTGTGGTAGGAGTAAAAATGACTCTATTCTATTAATAAATTTAACGTTATGTTTATATTTATAGATGGTCTCAAATTTTAAGGGATCACCAGCACTATCCGCGTAGGGGTCGGATTCAATGAGCTTTCCTAAATTTACGATATCCATTAGAGAAAATAGGTTGACATGATTTCTTTCGCCACTATGTACTCAAACTAATCAATTAGGTATTTATTTATTTCAGAAGTGAAGAAAGAAGTAGTTTGACTTATTATTAAAAAATATCAAATACTAAAAACATTGACAATGAATAATATAACTGTGACTGATAAATTTAAGTCATTCATCGGCTATTAAATCTTATCATAAAATAATATTTTAGTAAAGCCATAAATAGATCATGCTAGCTAATATAGTGCAATCAAAGACAATGTGATCATAAATATTTTTTATTAAAAAATACATCAAGCATGCCGAACCGTTATCGTTTTATAAATTTCCAGCCAGTATTAGTTTATGTACAAATGTACTCGTTATTAATTGTACATTTTCACAGAATCTCTAATATCAAGGCACATCTGTGAAGATGTACATTTTAATAAAAAGAAATTATTAATAAGGGTTAGTTTGCAATCTCGTTATTTAAAAATGAAATAAGCCTGCTTTTAGAATTAGTTAGATATTATTAATGTCTATATAATATTTACAAATTTCATTTTCTTTGGCAAGATTTTGGAAACTATTACACTGTTTTAAATTAATTTTAAAGCTCCTCAGAAGTTAAAAAGTTAATAAGTGTTTACCATCAACCATAGTTCAAGCTGTATACTGTTAAGATAAAGACGTCATTTCTGGATTGGAGAAAGCGCTTTACTTTTTGTCATATGAAAGCTCACCTTGAACGTCGAAGTAACCGAGTCGTTGATTGTCAGATAGTGGGTACGGTTTATCATCAGCATTTTGGACCGGTATACTAATGGTGATGTCGGAGCAAGCTCCAAACTGTTCCTGATTGCCGCATCCAAGACCTTGAGTGCCGTTCTGACAGACACCCCAGTTGTTTCCAGCTGTGTACCTCCATTGCAGAACGCAATGCTCGCAGGTAAGTCTGGCGGGTAAGCGGTATTTCATTGTGAATTGGCCTTCTCCCTTGGGGTAGTATTTAGTTCCTCCTTCCTCGAGCTCCAGGATATATTGATCGAAGCACGCCTGGTCGTTCCTGTATGGATCGGGGCATATCTTGAATTCCCAATAACCACGATGGTAAGCAGTGATAATGACAGTAGCGGTAATGAGTTCTCCAGACTTATAATCCGCGACAATGACACCGGCTCCGTAAATTCCACCGATCTCGTGATGGCGTGGTTGGGGTTGGTCGTATGGATCGCCACAGATGCCGCATCTGGAATTTACATATATTTCATATATTTTTTTTTTATCACAAATCTGTGTACTGTGTAGTGACGGTCTACTAAGAATATCCTACTACCCCATATCGTGCCGTGGGTGTTGTAAGAGGCGACAGAGGGAAACTGAAATAGGACATAGGTAGAATCTTCCTGATAAGTGATAACAATTCCAAACAATAAAAAAAACTGTGGTTGTAAACCTACCTGCCAAGCGTGGGAACTATGGCGAAATTTCCCCTATGAGGCAATCTATGGGGTAGCCTCATTTCAGTGGACATTTATAGGCTGTGATGTATGGATGATCACAAGGACAAGTTACTTAGAGGTCTAGAGTTATTGATATTATTAGATGTTATATCCGGTTTGAAGGACCATTTTATAAAGGTTCCTCTACTAAGTAATAGGATTGTTCTTCAGCTTTTTTAGTTTTTTTTTATAGGATAGGGTGACAAACGAGGGCACAGTCCACCTGATGGTAAGTGGTTGCTGTGGCCCATAGAGGGCTAAGGTAGAATGTGTCTTTTCCAGTAAAAAGGGTCTCCGGTTATCTACACTCACTATACGAAACAGAGCAGTGTTAAGCTGCTATTTTCCGCTGGTATTCTGTAGCTATATTAGTAGTATAGTTGTAGCAGGAATGAGTCGGCTATTCGTGCTACAACTATACTACTAATATAGCTGCACCATGGCTTTACCACGTAAAATAGACTAGTACTCCTTCTGGATAGGTATCCCTTACCTATCCTGCTACCTAGCACAGCACCTACACTGCTGTGCAGTCTGAAAGCCACTATAATTAAAGGCTATGAGACTTTCCATCTTAGTTCTCAGAGGTGGCAACGAATCTGCAGCCTTCTTTGTTTAAAGTAGGTTGCGGATGTTCGTGGGTTGTCGCTCAGTCGCTCTATAAGTTCGTTTGTAATTTCAATTTTATAAAAAGAAATTAAAGTTGGTTTATTTAACGCAAATGAAGAACAGCCTGTTATTATACGAGGTCTATACACCCTTCTAACCGGTACACAGATCACTACTAATAATAGTGCTTGGTAGCAAAGAGAAGAGTCCTTCTCCTTCTAGTTGTTGCGGCTAGTCTAGTTTTTGTAACTAACGTATAGTTGTAAGTTGTATACTGGCATTAAAAAGTGTATAAAGTGTTGACTTATGATCGATTAAGCCTTGCTCTTCATTCTATTGATAATAATCTTTATCTAAATTATAAAATTACAAATCCATAATATAAATGAATATACTATAATATTTGAGTCATTGAGCCACGAATTTTGAATTTAAGTCATAGACAAAGCCAAATTTTTACAACAGTGGCAATGTTTAGAGGCATTTTATCCTAGATCTGCAGGAATGACAACAACTCTACATTTTCATTCTTCATCGGGGATAGATGCAGGTGTCTATGGACTATATATATCTATGGATGATAATAACCCCTGGGAATGAGGTGATCGCTACCAAGCTATTTCTAATTTGTTGTGTTGTAAATTGTGTAACATACATGATTGTAAGCTGTTATTTTTAAAAAAAAGTCCCGCTGGGTTTCTTGCTGGTTCTTCCCAGGACAGAGGTTTTTATTCAAACCATTGATAATTAAACAAAAGAGTTACTTTCAATAAGTATTATTTATAATCTATATTGAATAAAAAAGTTTCTGTTTCTGTTTTTACAGCATTCATTTCCCATAGGTGGATTGTATACTTGTTCTCACCCTTATAAGTATAGAAAGACATTTCACAAAATTACTTTCTCATCACTAATAGTATTTATTATAGTATCCGTACATATAAAACAAAAATACATATAAAAAAACCATAACTCCCACATTAGGATTTCTTCAGTATTGTGGAGGCAGTTTAAACACATAAATTACAGTAGGACAAACATTCAGTCCAAGAAAAAATATTCGTAGGCCAAACAAATACTTGTTCCGTGAGGGATATCAACACGCGTCTCTCAGCGACACAACTCAATGCAAAACCACTGCGCCACGGAGCCACAGAGTAAAGAGTAAGGTCGGTTTCTTTACTCATGTGACGGAGCCATGTCTACTTGACAGTAGGATTACTTAATTTGAATCAGGCCAAGATGGTAATTTTTTTTATAGAATATGTGTGACAAACGAGCACACAGTCCACCTAATGGTAAGTGAATGCTGTAGCCCATACACATCTACATCTATCCTCGATTAAGAATCAAAATGCAGATGCGTTGCCACCCCTGAGGACTAAGACGGAATGCCTCGTTTCCAGTAAAAAAGGGTCTCCGGTTCTCTACACTCACCAAACGAAACACAGCAGCATTGAGCTGCTATTTTACGCTGTTATTCTGTGAGAGCGTGTTCCTACCCCGGTCAAGCTGACCCACTCGTGCTACAACCATAATATAGCTGCAGCATGGCTCCACCTCGTAACAACTCACTTGCCGCCGTTGACTGAATGCTGGTGGAAGAAGCCGCCACAGTTCCGGCCATCGTCATCGTAGTCCGCTGCGGTGGGGAACCCAAAACGCCACGCCGAAGCCCGGGACGGAGGCTGTATCACACGTCCGTGTCCTGAGACGGATACTACCAACGCGGATAAGGCGATAGCGTACCACAACATCTGAAAGATAAGAGTGCTTTTGGCTTGTATAATTTAATCTAATTGTTTTTTTTCCATATTTTAATCTAATAAACATTATAAGAACTAATATCATTGATTGACCTCCAAAGTATACTATGATAGACGTTGAGTTATTAGGAATTGATATAATTCAGATTAGAAAATAATAAGGAAGCAATAAACGACGATATCCAAACGATATCAATAATTGTTGAAGTAAATAAAAAAAATAATAAAGTACCAGACTTTTTATTCATATTTACAATATATTTTATTCATATATACAATACAAATACAATTCTGAACTATTTTCAAAATTTCAAGTCTCTTAGTTTAAAATCAATTAGTAAATTCGACTCGAACATACATACACGAAAGCGAATTAATCAAGACGTGGTAAAAAAGTATCGCGTGAATCTGCCGTAATGCGTTTAACGTATCTCCGCGCAGGGAACTAAAAACTTCTGCTATGGATGCGCCACATTGTACGATAGTGATTACATTACCGTGTATATAACGACTCAATCATCGAGAATCAGAAGGTGATTAGGGGCAACTATTTTAACCCGGAAAAGTATGCCGGGCGGAAATTCTTCGATAATGACAGCAGCAGCGGAACATGAGACAGAGTTAATACAAAAGCTAAATATTAGGGCTACTTATTCATATTGTAAGAAGTACCGCATATCTTTCCGTGGGTGTCGTAAGAGGCGACAGAGGGAAACTGAGGCAGAGGATGGGCAGCAGCATCTTCCTGATAACAGCAAAACAACAATAAAAAAACTGCGGTTGCCAAACCCCTCGCCAAGCGTGGCAACTATGGCAAATATCCCCCCACGATGAAAATTACGAAGAGATTGCCCCCAGACCCCGGCGGCCCCGCTATTCCTGGCTACGGTGGCGACCATGGTAACGGCGGGGCAGGGGGTGCTAAGAATCTCCGGTGAAGGTTTGGTTGCCACCTAAGACGACTCGCTCTGGAAACATGCAACGCACGCACCCTGAGTACTGACCAGAAGATCGTAGTGCTGGAAGAAGAAATAGACGTTACGCTGGGATATTATACGTTATCAGAGGTCCGAAGAGAGGGGGAGGACACGGTAGTCCTTGAATCCGGCAACTTATTCTATCACCGGGAGAATGACCTTCTGTCTCAAGGAGGTGTCGGATTTATCGTCCACAAGTCTCTTGTTAACAACGTTGTAAAGATTGTGAGTGTGTCGACGAGGGTTGCGTATCTTATACTCAGAATCATCAAACGGTATTCGTTGAAGGTCATACTGGTTTACGCACCAACCTCAGCACATCTCGATGAGGAGGTGGAGGAATGTATGAGGATATACCTAGAGCTATGCATTCCTCCAAAACCCACTATACGGTGTTAATGAGGTACCTCAATGCAAAACTAGGCACAAGAGAGAACGGTGAGCTGAAGGTAGGTTAATTTGGAATAGGGCAACGGAAGCCAAGGGGCCAGCAACTGGCCGACTTCATGGAGAAAGAGGGACTCTTTATGATGAACTCTTTCTTCCAGAAGCGGCCCCACAGAAAGTGGACCTGGCCGAGCCCTGACGGTTCGACAAAAAATGAGATTGACTTCATTATGACGACCAGACGACAACTGTTCAGTGATGTCTCAGTGATCGCGAGGGTGAAAACTGATAGCGATCACCGAATGATTAGAGGCACACTGAACCTAAACATTAAGTTGGAAAAGTCTTGTCTAATGAAGTCAAGGCTCCGTCCCCCTCGTGCTCTAGTCCAGAGTCCCGAAACCTTTCAGCTCGAATTACAAATCCGTTTTCAGTGCCCAGAAGACTGCAATGAAGTGGACAATATGAATGATAAGTTCGTGGAAACAGTCCACGCGGAACAAGTTCTGCAAGACCCGTCGCAGAAGAACACAAAAGCTTTCCGATCACACTCTTAATCTCATGGCTGTTAGACGGGAAATGAAGCTGCAGTCTTTAACAGATTTGACAGTATACAGGCAACTGAACAGACAGATCTCCAAATGCATGCGGCGGGACTTACGCAACTTCAATACAGCTTGTATTGAAGAAGCGATCGAGCGTAACCAAGGCTCCAAAGTCTTTGCCAGAAATCTGTCTGCCAGAAAGAGCCAACTGTCAAATCTGAAGACCGAATGTGGCAGCATCGTTTCCGAGACACTTGAGATTTTGAGCGATATTGTGAGGTTATGGGCAGCTGTACACGTCATCGTTGGAGCCACACGCAAGTGTGAGTAACGATCCAAGAGCGAGTCTTATCCATCACAATTCCGAAGATATCCCAGACGTTAGTCTGCGTGGGAATAGAATGGCTCTCCAGCATCTTAAAAACGGTAAGTCCCCGGGCGAGGATGGAATCACATCGGAGCTTTTGAAATCGGGTGGAAAACCGGTACTTGAAATCCTTCAGAAGCCCTTTAGTTCCGTCCTCCATGGTGGCACTACTTCGGAGGCGTGGAGCAGACGTGCCGTGGTATTGTTCTTCAAGAAAGGCGACAATGCTCTCTTGAAGAACCAGACCGATTTCCCTTCTGAACCGCGTCTACGTGCTGTTTTCGAGAGTCATTACGAATCGTCTCGCATGGAGACTCCACGACTTCCAGTCTCCCGAACAAGCCGGTTTCTGAAAAGGCTGTAGTACCTTAGATTATATACACACCCTTCGGCAGATTGTACAGAAGACAGAAGAGTACAATCTGCAACTTTGCCTTGCGTATGTGGACTATGAGAAAGTCTTTGATTCTGTCGAAAGTTGGGCGGTGCTACAGTCCCTTCAGCGGTGCCGAGTTAACTATCGGTATATCGAAGTGCTGAAGTGTTTGTACAATAGGGCTACGATGGCTATCCGAGTACATAATCAGAGTACGAAACCTATCCAACTGCACAGTGGTGTAAGACGGGGTGACGTTATATCCCCGAAACTTATCACCGATGCATTGGAAGATGTTTTCAAGCTAATGGACTGGAAACTATACGGTATTAACATCAATGAAGATTACATCACTCACCTTCGATTTGCCGACGATACAGTCCTTATGGCAGAATCGCTGGAGGATCTAAGCACTATGCTCAATAAACTCAATAGTGTCTCCCAACGGATAGGTCTTAAAATGAACATGGACAAAACAAAGATCATGTTTAACATCCATGTTACACCTATGCCGGTAGTTGTTGCGAGCACTAAGCTCGAAGTTGTTGACGAGTATGTTTACCTGGGACAAATAGTCCGACTAGGTAAGTCCAACTTCGACCGAGAGCTCAATAACGGATTCAACTCAAATGGGCAGCGTTCGGGAAACTACGACACATCTTCTCGTCAGGTATACCTCAAAACCTAAAAACGAGATTGTACAACCAGTGCTTGTTGCCAGTGATGTCTTATGGATCTGAGACGTGGTCCTTCACTGCTGGCCGTATGAGGATGCTCAAGGTCGCTCAGCGAGCTATGGAGAGGGCTATGCTCGGAGTTTCTCTGCGTGTTAAACTTAGAAATGAGAATATCCGCAGTAGAACCAGAGTAACCGACATAGCCCAACGGATTAGTACGCTGAAGTGGCAATGGGCCGGCCATATAGCTCGAAGAACCGACAACCGATGGGGAAGAAAGGTTCTCGAGTGGCAGCCTTGTACCGATGACGAAGTGTAGGGCGACCCCCCACTAGATGGAGTGACGACCTGATAAGACATGCAGGAAGTCAATGGATGTAGGTGGCTCAAGACCGTGCTCTGTGGCATCCTTGGGGGGGGGGGGGGGGGGCTATGTTCAGTAGTGGAGTTAGGAGGGGCGGTAATGATGACGATGATGATGATGGTGAAGAAGAAGCTATAATATTTTCTTATTTGAAGTTTCCTTCTTCTTTATCATCGGCTTGTAACAATCTACAAGTGAACATAGGCCTCTCCTATAGTAGGGAGAATTTGCCATAATTGTCACACTTGACACACAGTGGCCTTGGCCTACCAGGCAAGCCGTCCTTAAAGAAAAACTGAACTTGCCTAAAAACAAAGAAGCTTGCAGTCTAAGTTGTATATGAAATGTATATGAAAACTCTTTATTAACTCGTTTTCCCACAGATTTCAAACTGATGGATAATAGGTCAAAGGTCAATTATGTTTTGCAGGTATAAGTAGTATTTTATTAACTTTTTGCGCTATGTAGAAAGAAACTACGCCAGATAGCAGTGCATGCACTGCTGTTAAGGTTGGAAAGGTAGGAAGAAACAGTATAATATTATTAACTGCATCTACAAATCATATCATTAATTATACGCCTTTATACATTACCGCGGACAACAATGGGAAGCGACAAATAGCTCTAGAAACTGTTTAATTACTACAGATCCTGTTTCCCTATTTTTATGTAGAGAACTTCCAAAACTTATATCTGTGTTTCAGTTTAACGCTGTAACGATATACAAAAAGTAAAATACAGCCTATATGTGTCCCACTGCTGGGCTCAGGCCTCATCACATTTATGGTTGTGGATCGATTGGTCCGCCTTGATAAAGATAGAGGTTTGCAGTTGTGCGAGCATCACGGAAAAAATTACTGGATAGATTTCAATTAGGTTTTCTAAGTTTTATTAGATTTTCTATTTTTTAGACCCTTGGTCCTTATCTAAAAAAAATTTGCGATATCTTCATTTAATTTAATATAAAGTTATTAAAGTTTTAAGAAACAACAATTTTATACGGGGTTTTTCACACGGTCTGTAAGTCGCTTGATCTCGCATTGCTAACCCAGATAATTTATATATTTTAAATTAAAACAAATAAATTCTTTATTTGCCACAAATCTGTTAACAATTAAATGGAACCCTGGCTTCTAAACTAGTTGTAATAACTGTATCTTAGAAACCAGTGTTTTCCCCTATTATTGGTACAATTACAATAGATTCTGGCGACGTAAGAATAATAGAATTCGAATTTAAATACGAACATTTTGTTAATATATCAAGCAAAGCGGACGAAGTTGTGGGTATTAGCTAGT